AACCCCAGAAAGCAATGAGGTCAATTTAATGTCAGTTACTTTCAATGACCCAGTCTAACCCTCTGTAAAGATGTGATCATCAACAACCTAGAAAGATGTTGTACAAGTTGTTGTGTTCAAAGACTCTGTCCTTGACAATTCCACACTCAAAATGTGTTCATTGAAGACTAGAAAATCTCCAGTGTGATTTTTATTTACGTCCTCTTCCAGGCAACCGTATGTATAAGTATTTGGAAAGAGTCTCCAAAAACGTAAAAACTTTTCAAACTCAGCTGACAAATTTATGACTGCAAAGAGCTTATTATATCCCATTGTTGTTGACACCATCAAGTCAACTACTACTCACAGCAACCCCATGAACAAGAGAGCTAAGCCTTGCCCTCTCCTGTACCATCCCTACTATCTGTCGTGCACAAGCCCGCAATCCATCTCAGAAAGTCTCCCTCTCTTTCACCAACCCTTTATCTTTCCCAGCATGATGTCTCTCTCCAAGGGCTTGTTCCTTCTGAATATACAGCCATCGTAACTGAGATGAAGTTTCACTATCCTTGCCTCTAAGAAGCACTCGGGTCTCATTTGCTCCTAGACTGATTAATTTGTTAATTTGGCAGCCCATGGTATGTATATTCAGTACCCTTCTCCAACACCACAAATTAAAGGTATCAATTCTTCTTCAGGCTACCTTACTTACTTTCCAACTTTCAGATGCATAAAAAATAATTCTATAGATTTTCAGAAATGAGCAGCATAGGTGGGTCTGAGTTTTGAGAAATAGTCCACTATGCACTCATCTGTCTTCTAGAAACTACACCTGCCTTTCTATTCCCCACTCATACATTTTTTCAATTCACTGATTTGAGAAGGGCTGTAGAGTGGACATAAGATCCAGCTTAGGTCCGTATGCTTATCTTTTCTTCCTGACCAGTGGTTGATTCAGATGGTCCTTGAGACCAATCAAGGTCAATGAGAATCAGAAGTACTTTTCTGTTCAAGGTGATAGCGGTGAGGATTCTGTGAGGCTCGGAGGTGCTTGGAGCCACCACATGACACCAGTTCAGGAGAAAGTATAGGTAAAAGGCTGAGATAGACTCAACCCATGAAATTTGATCCAGGCATATTTTTTTTTAATTTTTTTATTTTATTATTTTTGTGTGCGTGTACCGTCAAATCAGATCTGACTGGTACAGGAGGAGATTGTCCCTCCTTCCCCGGCAGAGCATCTGGTGGATTCGAACCGTTCACCTCTGGGATTGTAGTTGCAGCTCCTTGCCACTAGGCCACCAGAGCTCCCCGATCCAGGCATATTTAAAACACGCTCTTCTAGGGATTTTTCCATCACTTGGCCAATAAAATCCCATTTTTGCATAAATCTGATTGAACTAGACTGTTAGAAATGGGAAGATTTCTGACCAATGGAATTGTCTAACTATATCTCATTTTGAAGGTAAGTCCAATGGATAGGCTGCTATTGTTGTAACAATAACAACAAGTTGGTTCCAAGTTGGAACCAACACAGAGCTGGCCCTCAAGTGGGTTTTCAGAGGCTGTAAATTGCACAGAAAGAGATTGCTCATCTCTCTCATACAATAAATAGATAGTGCTTCTATTTCTTTTTACAATTTATTTGCCTTATGCATGATTTAAAGAATACCTCAAATGGAAATTTTTGTTTTAAGTTCTTTTAGTTGTTGTTAAGGAAATTTCAATTTCAACTGAGGACACTAAAGTTCACCCTTTTCTAAACCCCGATAACATAAACAAATTAGAAAGATGAACCAGATATAGAAAGCAGCAACACTGAGGACAATCTAAGTTCTGATCAGCTTGTCCCAAATGCTGTGAAGCTGGATTTATGCTTCAGCACTAAGTTGCCACATTCTAAACTGCTGATGCAAGTGAAAATTCACACTGCATTGTGTGATGCCCGGAGATAACGAATAGCAGAGACTGCCTACTTGAACACGGCTGTAAACAACACTGGAGAGCACCAGCCCCCAGACTGTAGTCGCAAGAAACTAGAAACATAATCCCCTTTGCCTTTTGCAACCAAGATATGAAGCACTTGCAAAACATATATAGGAAAAAACCACTGTACTTTAAGTACAGCCTGGATAAATGTTGTGGAGGAGAAAGAAAAAAAGAAACCAATACTTTTAGGGGAAGATTTTTTCCTCTTGAGACCCAAGTCTCAGAACTTTTATATTCTTAATATTCTGTATCTTTTCATTTGATACACCTATTGCATATATATATTACAGCTTGGAATACTTATTCTATTTATATACATTTTCTGCCTCCCCATCCCCTATCAGTCCCTAGAGGTCCAAGATCATGTCTTTCTTGATCTAGTACAGTATCTGGCATACAACAGATGCTCATAAAGTGCTGGAAATTATAAAAATTTTATATACTTGGCTAGCAATCAATTTAGGATATAATGAGCAATTGTGCCTTCCTTGTTTACAGACTAGCTCCTATGTTACAAGCTATGTGCTAAAAATCAGACATAAAGGATTTAGATCATTTACATGAACTGAGCTTACCCTAACCAGGAAGTGCAACTAACTTACAAGGAGGGATCATGCTTCATTCCTATTCTTCCCATTGTTGCACTTAAAGAGAACTAGAACAGATTCACGAAGGTGTAAGGTGACATATTTTAGTTCAACCTAAGGATAATCGATATTCTACAAGGATCAGAGGGATGTAGGTGGTATCGGGAGGAACCAGTCACTGGAACAGATGAAGAACAATTTCAATTAGCAGGAAGTTGTGGAGATGATACAACACTTAGATAGAATGTTAAGACAGAGTCAGCAGGGATTGGGAAAGTACCCTGGGCTCTGCCCTTAAGCCTTCAAGTTTTGAGAAGTATTTGTGTTAGGATGAGCAATGTCAGAGCCCACAACTTCCTGTCTCTCCTTATGAATAAGCCTACCCCAAGCTACAGGGCACTCTACTATCAGCTAACTGTCCTGAAATGCTAACAGTATTTCCCCCTGAAGATCTGATAGTGTATTACAATTCTTGGAATCATCTGGTTACTGATAGAGGATGCCAGTGAGGTAGATCCAATGGACTTTTGGTGTCTGGATGTCTAAGTAAAGCTGAGCATGGGCTGTTATTGTTGTTGTTATGTGTCATCGAGTCACTTGCGACTCATAGCGACCCTATGTACAACAGCCCTAAAGTCTGCTCTGTCCTGTGCCAGTCGCACTGTCTCCGACACACCCATCCCGATTACCCCAGTCACTGAATCAATCCACCTCATAGAGGGCCTTTCCCTCCTACGCTGTTCCTCCACCCTACCAAGTATGATGTCCCTCTCCAAGGACAGGTCTCTCCTTACAACATGTCCAAAGTATGTTAGATGGAGCCTCAGAATCCTTGCCTCCAAGGAGCTGCCCAGTTTAACCCTCTCCAGGATGAATCTGTTTGTTTTCCTAGCAGTCCATGGTGAGCTCAATACTCTTCTCCAGCACCACAGCTCAAAGGCATCAAGTCTTCTATCCTCCTTAGTCACTGTCCAGCTCTCTGATGCATAAAAAGTGATAGCAAAGACCATGGCCTGTATCAGACATACCTTAGTCTCCAGAGAGACACCACTGCTCTTCAGTACTTTGGAGAGGTCCCTAAGAGCAGACTTTCCCATGGCAATACGTCTTTTAATTTCCTGAGCATGGGTAATTTAGGAAAAAGCTGAAGTAACAAAGTAGATAATCTCCCGTTTGGCTTTCCCCCAATGCTCAATCAAATGGTCTCTGTAGATTCTGGTATTATATTAAAGATGACAGAGCACAGAAGAAAACTGCATACAGCTGTGCTGGAAGAAAGCGTTTCTTTGCAACCCTTTAAGTCTTTGTCAAAAACGTGCACATTTTTTTAAAAATTGCACACCTTTAAGATAGGTTTGAGATATTGTTCTACAAGACAGCATACTCTGAACTTGTTTCATTTTCAGCCCTTGACAGTGATAAGATCTCCCAAGCAGCTGTTGATCAAAGAATGGTATAAAGGCACAACAGTAGAAAGAATAGAGCTGGACTGAGAAACCAAAAGGCAATAAGAGGAGCTAAAATTTAGGCTATAAAGTGTGGAAACATCAACAGGAGAAGGAGTAATATGTGAAACTGAAAGGAGACCTAAGGCCCTGAAAAGATACCACCTTGAGAAGACATGTTTCCACCTAAGGACAGCAGAGAATCACGGAAGGACTTTAAACAACTGAAAGAAAGACGTGGTCAGACTTGAGTGTTGGAAATACTATTTCAAGTATGGAGATAACAGATTGAGAGGGAGAAGGGGATGCAAGAAATTTACCAATGAAGAGTCAGGAGGCTATTACAGCAATCCACATAAAAGAACATGGTAGTTTAAACTGCAGTATTAGCAACAGATGTTCAGAGCCAACAAATAGTAGGTGAAATCATTGGGGCCTGGTAACAGAGGAGTCAAAGAAAACCTTGAGATTTCTGACATGGTCATCTGAGTCCATTCATTGAGAGGACTACAGGTCAGTAAGGACTCTTCAGAGAGTACGATTCTGTTTGGATCATGTGTGTTACAAATGTTACAGAACCGCAATAAGTCACAATCAACTTGATGGCAGTGGACATGTCTTTTAAATTCCCTGTGATATTCAAGTAGAACTATCTAGAGGTGATTAACAGACCTGAACTAGAGATATAATTGTGGAGCTCATTAGCATACAGACCATAATTAAAATAATGAGAAACACTAAGATCTTCCAGGGAAAAATGTAGATTCTACCCCACAAGGTTAGAGTGAAAGTCTGTACTATAGAAAAAAAATACCTTGATACTCTATTATCGCGAGAGTATGTATGCCATAGTTTACAAAGGGCATCATATTCAGGCCATGTGAGTGTGTTAGAAAATAGATGGAATACTAATTCATCTTGATAGGAAAAGTAGCCCCTACTGTCCCAAAGACAGCAGGTAGATCAGAGATCTAACATCTCAACACAGGATAATACTCACCAGTTGACAGAGCCTCCTCCCGCAACTCCCCTGCAGCGGGCTGGTGAATATTCCAGGATGTTTTGGGAAGCAAAGAGATTTCCTCAGGTGATGCTAACTTCACCATATCCATGTGACTGCTCTGGAACTGGTACCGTGGAATGAAGCAGGTTTTGCCTTGCCGAAAAATGTCCTTGATGATCTCCTCGGTCTCAATTTCATCTTGCATGCTCAGAAAGACGGCAACTCGTCTGGATTTCTGATACTGACTGTGAGCGATCACCTAAATAGGAAATAACGACAACCATATTTTCCAAGATTTCTGAAACTAATGGTTCCCCTTTCTCCCCTTCTTGCTCCCTTTCTCCAACTTTTTAATCTCCTTCCGACAAAAAAAAGCAGAGTGATCAGCCTCTCTGTAGCTCTAAACTCAATGCTTCTTGGATCTAATGAACATCTCTCTGTACACAGACTCTCAATCTGCTGCCATCAAGTCACTTCTGACTCACAGCAAACCTGCAGGACAACACAGAACTCTCTCATAGGATTTCCCAAGCTACAAATCTTAACAGGAGGAGATTTCCCATCATTCTCCAGGGGAGATGATGGTAGATTTGAACTGCCGGCATTTTAGTTTGCAGTGGAAAACATAAAACCTACTATGCCAGCAGATCACCTCCCTTCTATCTGCTGTCGTTGTCAGGTGCCACTGAGGTGATTAGGAGTCATAATGACCCAGTGAACAACAGATCTGACGCTCTCTCCTGTGCCATCCTCACCATCTTTGATATTCTCAAGCTCATTGTTATAGTCACTCATCAATCCATCTTGTTAAGGATCTTTCTTTCTCTGACCCTCCACCTTTCCCAGCATCATTTTTTTCTTCCCCAAATACTGGCCTCTCCTGTAAAATATCCACAGAGAATCACTATGGGCAGCTGCTGCCTGTCTCGGTCATTCCAAGCTCGACCCCCTCCTATCCATTTAAGCAGTCTTCATCCTCCCAAGTGGCTCCTCTAGTTTGCCTGCTTTATTTTAACACCGAACTTTGGCTCCAGTCACTTTCCTTTTCCCTTTGGTAGGTTTCTCTTCTAAATGCAACTCTAAAGGCCAAGTCAAACCCTAGCTTTTTTTAACGTATGCAGAATTCTTAACTCCACTCAGAATTACAAGGTCACTGACCAATTAATCGTTGTTTCAAGGAGCCCTGATGGAGCAGGTTAAGCTAGGTTACTAACCAAAAGGTCAGTAGTTCAAAACCAACAGCTACTCTATATGAGAAAAATGAGGCAGCCTGTATGTTGTTAGAAGGGGTTACTCCTTGGTCATCACGCTTGGCAAGGTTGAAGGTCAGCAAAAGATAGAACAACCCTTAGCGATATGGACTGACACAGTGATGACAGCAATGAACTCAAGTATGCCAAAGCTTGGGAGAATGGCACAGGAGAGGACAGGGTTCAGATGTGTTGTGCACAGGCTCGCTGTGCATTGTACTCCACGCAATGGTGCATAACAACAACATCAGCAGCAACTCTGGAGACCCTATGGGGCCATTCTAATCAGTCCTAGAAAGTTACTACTTTGAGTCAAAAATAAACTCAGCAACAGTGGGTTTTGGCTTTGTTTGTGTTCCAGTGTCTTAAAATTATAGTACTGTTACCATAAGCTCCGTGGAAGTAAAAACCATAATTCTCTTCATTCTACCAGATCTCGTTTTGCCTTCTAAATCTCTTCTGTAAAAAATGATGTTAATATGTTCTCAAAGATGGAAAGTGAGGGGTCCTGGAGAGACAAACACTCTCTAAAAGTGGAAGGCAGGTTATGAGAAAGTAGATATAAGTAAGAATCCTTTCAAACATCACTTTTAGGTGAAAAGAACTGAGCTTTGCCTACACAGAGAAGAGACAATCTTGGAAACTTTACCCCAACTCTTTTCCCCTTTCTTTTTTGTTCCTTCCTGTCCTCACTGCTAAGCAGGAAATGATGCAAAGGTATCTTCAAATAAGACTGGCAGAAAAATACAGGTACAGAAAGTTAAGTTATTCTGAATAAAAAGTGATACAGACATTAAATAGAGCATAGAGTTTTTGGTTAGCTACAAACTTGTTATGAACCCTAAAACAGGGTTCATAAATGAAGACATGAAAGCTAGATCTTGGGCAGACACCCAAAGCAGGAAAATTCAGTATCTTCCTCATCCTTTATAAGGATATCAGGTGGTAAAGATCAAATATTATAATGTTCTTAAAATAAGTACTATAATGAAATGTGCAGAGAGCTAGAATTGGAGAACATAAAGGGGGAAACTCACTCTGCATTTCTCAAGCTGAGAGAACTGAAAAACAAATTTAAGCCTCGAGTGGCAATACTGAAAGATGCTATGGGCCATATATTGAATAACCCAAGAAGCTTAAAAGGAGGTTGGGGGGATACAGAGAGTAACTGTACCAAAAACCAACTGACAGTGAAAAATTTCAGGAAGGACCATATGAGCAGAAGCTATGGTAATGAAGGGAGAAGTGGAAGCTGCATTGAAGGCACTGGCAAAAAATAAGGCCCCAGGAATCAACTGGATACCAATTGACTTGTTCCAATTAACAGATGCAGCCCTGGATGAGCTAACCAATCTATGCCAGGAAATTTAGAGGACAGATGTCTGACCTACAGATGGGAAGAGGTCCATATTGGTTCCCATTCCCAAGAAAGGTGATCCAACTGAATGTGGAAACTATTGAACAATTAATCATTAATATCACACGCAAGCAAAATCCTGGTGAAGATCAATCAAAATCAGCTAGAACAGTGCATAGATAAGGAACTGCTGAAAGCTCAAGTAGGATTTAGAAGAGACCATAGTACTAGGGATATCACTGCTGATGTCAGATAGACTGGCTAAAAGTAAAGAAAATTAAAAGAATGTCTAGTTATGCTTTATTGATTTTGCAAAAGCATTTAACTGTGTGGATCATAACAAGTTGTGGCTAATACTAAGAAGAATGGGAAGCCCAGAGCACTTAATTGTGCTCATGCAAAACTTATACCTAGGCCAGGATGGAACTGTACAAACAGAGCAAGAGAACCCTATATGGTTTAAAATTAAGAAGGGAATGTGCCAGGGTTGTATTCTCTCTCCATACCTATTCAATCTGTATGCTGAGCAAATTATTCAAGAAGCTAGACTCTATGAATAAGAATGTGGCATCAAGATTGGAGGAAGACTCATAAATAACCTGCATTATGCAGATAACACAACCTTGCTTACTGAAAGTCAGGAGGACTAGAAGCACTTATTGCAGAAGATCAAAGAACACAGCCTTCAATACAGATTGTATCTCAATGTCAAAAGAACAAAGATCTTTACCACTGGACCAACAGACACCACCATGATAGATGGAGAAAATAATGAAACTGTCCACAACTTCATCTTACTTGCATCCATAAATTAACACCCTTGGTACCAGCAGCCAGGAAACCAAAGGACGTAGTAGGGACCTCTCCAAATTGTTAAGCTGTAATTACAATAGTTTGAGGACTAAAGTGCTTCTGATTCAGGCCATTGTCTTTCTGATCACTTGTTATGCATCTGAAAGCTTTACAATGAATAAAGATGACAGAAGAACTGATGCCTTTGAGCTGTGGTGTTGGAGAAGAGAACTGAACATCCCATGGACAGCCAAGAAAACAAACAAGATTATGTCTTAGAGAGGGTGCAGCCAGAGTGCTCTTTGGAGATAAAAATTATAAAGCTTCACCTCACAAACTTTGGGATTGTTGCTAGAAGGGCCTATTCCTTGGAGACAGGCATGATGCTCAAAAAGGCAGAGGGTTGATGAAGTAGAGGAAGACCCTCAACCATGTGGTCTGGCACAGTGACTGCCACAATGAGTTCTAATGTTGCATGAAGTGTGAAGATGGCACAGAATAAGCCAGAGTTCTGATCCACTGTTTATAGGGTCGCTATGAGTCATACTCGACTTGACAGCACCTAACAACAGGTGGCAGAGTATATTACATGTTAGGCTGTTAATGGTTCAAATCCACCAGGTACTATGTGGGAGAAAGATGGGTGGCAGCTTTCTGTAAAGATATACCTCTGAATACCAACGGTGGGGTGAGCCAGACAGAGTGTGGTGAGGGAGGGACGGGTGAATACACCCACTCCTCACTTAACAAACACTTCGTTATCCAACGTTTCCCTACATTAACAATTTGTTCATAAGCAACATACTTCTAAGAGTAAAGAATGCCAAAGTGCATGCTAAAATATACTTATTGTGAAAGTTAAGACTGTCAACTTCATTAGACAATGATTCTTAGTGGTTTGGAGTTAAGTGATGAGGTACTGTGACAGGTATGTAGTGATACACTGATCCTATTTTGTGATCTCATGTGGCTTAACTCCATTTTTGCAGAAAACAAACTTTTGCATAGCAGTGTCATCTTCAGAAACTAGTCAAGCAATTAATGAAAAGTAAAGTGTAAAAGAATTCAAGAGCTTAACAAGTAGTTTTAAGGATTAGTTAAAATTCAGTGCGAGACTTTGCACACACTTTTATCTTTTCTTCCATCCTTCTATACCATTTATATGACTGCAAAGAAGCACACTGAAAAAAAAAAAAAAAGACAAATCTACTATAGTGCTAAGGACAAGAGAATAGATATCAGACTAATTTCTCTATGACACAAAACAGATTCAAGTGTACTTATAGATAAAGACAGAAGCAGGTCAAATGATCCATTCCTTACACAGAAACTCAAAGCAAAGAAAAAGCAAATTAAATCATCACTAATATCACACCAAGAAAGGTGATCCAACAGAATGTAGGAATTATCAAACAATATCACTAGTATTACATGCAAGCAAAATACTGCTGGCAATCATTCAAAACCAGCTAGAACAGTACATGGAGAAAGAACTACCAGACCTTTCAGCTGGCTTTAGGAGAGGCGTTGGCACCAGGGAGATCTTTGTTGAAGTCAAAGGGACCCTGGCTGAAAGTAAATTCCAGAAGAATGTTTACTTGTGATTTATTGACTATGCAAAGGCATTTGAATACATGGATCATAACAAATTATGGCTAACATTGAGATGAATGGGAATCCCAGAACACTTAATTGTGTTCACGGGAACCAACAGGGTATTGTGCAAACAGAGCAAGGGAACATTGTTGTTGTTGTTGTTGTTGTTGTTGTTGTTGTTGTTGTGTGCCGTAGAGTCACCTGCGACTCATAGTGACCCATGTACAACAGTTCTGAAGCCTACCCTGTCCTGAGCCAGTCTCA